ATCCCACTACATTGGAAAATGTCCAGACTTTTTAAAACTACCCAAAACGAAAGATCAACGAAAAGAGCTGCTGAAACGACATATGTGCGTCAACTGCTTAGGCCAACACAGATTTAGTGAATGCACATCGGCCAAGCGATGTTTAACTAACAACTGCGGAGCCGGAAACTTAACCAAAATTTAAGCCGGAAACACTTATCTACAACGGCATCAAAACAGATTGCTACGCCTTACTCGACAACACAGCAGCTGCTCATACATCCCCAGCAAAACAGCTGAAATACTTCATTGTAAGCCTAGTCAAGAACTACAGCTTAGCGTACGAGGCGCTTTCAGAAAAGAAAAATTGTCCTCCTCTCTGGTCTGACTAAGTATCGGACCACATAATGCTACTATGCCTACTTTCACTCTATAGTCAGTCTACTCGGTTGAAGCTCTGAAGTTCGACGCCATCGACGCAAACAACTCTAACAGAACGTGGTCACTCTATAATCAGTTTCCACCTGTCAACTTTCTTGATCTAGGCCACAACTCAGTTTTAAATTTTCTTCGCGTTGATGCCTTTTGGAAAATTGCGGAGTGCGATATCAGGGAAGGTCCAACAGGCCTTCCCTATGCTGTCAAAAATCTACTAGGTTGGACGATCACTGGCCCACTCAACCAGAAATCTATTAGTTCCGGATCAAATTCACATTCGACTAAGTTCATTGACTTAAACGATAAAGAAGACGCTACTCTCACTGGAATAGTGGAAAAATTCTTGAAAGTGGTAGAATCCAGAATCCAAGAAAAAAAAAACTAAATTCTCTGATAAGAACAAAAGACGACTAAGATTTGTGAGACAAAGCATTGAGCACGATGGAGATCGCTACAAAATGAATCTACTCTGGAAAAGCGAAGTAAAAATGCCAAGCCACTATCCGGTACCTAAGGTTCAAAGGCAATCACTACAGAAGTGACTCAAAAAGGGCCCTGAACCCATGCGTTTTTACGAGCATTCACTTACTACTGATTTGGAAAAAATATCTACGCCAAGTCTGTTACTTTTTTCCCACAGCCGGAATTACTGTGGTACCTGCCACAACACTCTGTGAGTAATCCAAAGAAGCCCGAGAGGGTACGCAGCGCGGCCAAGGCTGCCTCGACGTACAAAAGCGTCTCGTTGAATTCTTGCCCTGAGACTGAACCCGATCACCTGAACAACATGCTTGGCCTTCTACTACGATTCCGGGAAAAACCTGTGGCCGAATTGAACAAAAATGGTATAAAGTAATGCCAATACTCGCGACTTATCTTTGGGGCAAAATAGTCATCATCCATTGCTATCTTTGCGCTTCATCGAACAGCTGCCAATTACTGCGTATCCAATCCCCATATTTCTCAAGTGCTTGATGAAAACTTTTACATGGACGACCATGTTCACGCGATCGGCACCACAAAAGAGGCTAGAGACTCTACGATACAACTTAAATCGTCACTACGACAGCAGGGTGATTCAGCCTAACTAAGTTTGTATCTAACACTCATGATGTCATCTGCTCCATTGACGGAGGTGAAAAGTCTATTTCTGCTACAGTGCAACGGGTCCTGGGAGTCAAATGGGACACAACTGACGATACCACTTTATTGCAACCAACTACCAAGGTACCTAATACTACAATGTCTACACTCCAAACAGTCCTCTCTACAGTAGCAAGGATTTTCGACCCACTAGGTATACTAACGCCATTTGTCAAAATACTTATAACTTTTCTAGAATACCTTTGAAAGTCTGGTAATTCCTGGGACGGACCCTGCCCAGTGACTTTGTCCCAATAATAGACAAATGGTTCGATCAACTCCAACAAGGCCCAACCCACACCCCCCCCCCCCCCCCGGGAGGCTGCCGCGCTTACTCTGACAACAACGGTGATCTAGTGATATACAGCTTTATGTTTTCTGGTAGATTTTATCACAAGACGCAATTTTATTACAATACGTGTATCTATTTCCGTACTGCAGGTAGCTCTGGCATACACGCTACTTTTTTGATTGGCAGAACAAAGGTAGGACCACTGAACAAAGAAAGCATTCCAAAACTAGAACTACGAGCCGCCCTGATGGGCGAACGGCTGTGCAAGTTCGCTACTGATGAAATGCGAATGAATCCCCCGCTACTCACTTTTGGGCAGATAGCAAAACTGTTTTGTCCTGGATTGCTTCGCCTGGTAAACTTAAAACTTACTGCGCGAACAGAATTGGTGAAATACATACTTGATGCAAAGCCGACCAGTGGAAACACATCCCTGCTCAACTCAACCCAGCAGACAGCGCTACACGGGTAATTGCACTTACAGACGTATCAAAACTCTGGTTGGATGCACCAGATTTTCTAGTTGTCATTGAACGTAATTGCGGGATTAACAAGACAACGGAACAAAGTAAAGCTACATCAGTTAGCCACGCCCCCCAACTACTCGACTATTTGATTCTTCTCGGTTTTTGGACTATTTTCGATTAATTTGGGTCACCGCTTGGGTTATAGGTCTTGTCGATACTTTGAAGGGAAACATTCAACTACTATAGAAGACCTAGAAAAAGCCAAGCTCCGTTTTATCAATAATCCCAACGAGAAACTTTTGTTGACACCTAAAATCAACTACGAAACAAGCAGCAAGTTGACAACAAAGACAAACTACAACAGTTCTCTCCTGTTCTCGACAACAGTTTATACGCGCGCGAAGACGACTACGAAACTCCTTTACCGGACGCAACAAGGCATCCAAAAGCAAAGGAACCAATTGTGAGCATGATGATCGAGAGCACTCCTTGCCGCTGTACGCATCAAGGCACTGAGTACTTACGCAACTACCTGCACTGCAACAAAGCTCTGTCATCATTAAGCTCCGAAAAAGTACAGAGACAGAGAAGTCAATATTGCTTTCTCTGCAGAAGATTTCAAGTCAGTGGATTACATCCACTCATGGCCGATCTGCCGCCAACTCGTTCCGACGATCTATCTGATGAGCCATTTCCGTTCAAATTACAGGGATTGAGTGCATAGTGCCATTCTTTATTGCAACAAAAGATACAACTGAAAAAAGCTACAATTGCCTCTTCAAATGCCTTTCTACACGAGGGGTTCACCTAGAATCGACAGAATCTTACTACAAACATTTGCATAACGGCAATTAGACGCTTCAATGCTGGGAGAGGCACACCTAAGCTTTAAATCTCTGCCAACGCTACTTACTTCGTCACCGCCCGTTAACAACTACGCTCGGAACCCTAAAGAACACACCTTGACTGAAACGCTACAAATCCACTATTTCGAATGACGCCTATATCCTCCGCCAGCTCCCCACTTTGGCGGCGTCTGGGAGCGAATCAGCTCAATGATAAAGCGAGCATTCTGACTAAACCTCGGATCTGATCGACTATCAAGAGATCCACTTGCTACTATTGTAGCCGAGACTGAGGCAATCCTCAACTCATGTCCGCTAACACATGTCAGTAGTGACCTTGATGACGACCTTCCATTGTTACCTAACCTTTCCCTAATGGGTCGTCTACCCTCCCGCTGCAGCCTTCTACGAAGCATCCACCAATAAACTGTCTAAGTCCTGGAAGCGAGCAAAAGATGGACTTGACAGCTTCTGGAGGCGTCTACTTAAAATGTACGCTCCGACTCTCATCAAAAGGACTAAATGGACGCAACCCGAGGAACCACTCGAAAAAGATGACCTCGTGTGGAAGACTTTACACCACGAAGCATCTGGCCACTGGGTCGAGTGCAAGAAGTTTCTACAGGCTTGGAGAGCATTGCGCGCTCGATGTAAACTGAAAACAGCTCTAGGTACTTTCACGAGACCAGCGGCGAAACTTTCACTCGTATCCCCAAAAAGGGGAGATTTAAGTCCACTAATTGTACTACAAAAAACTGAGCTCAACCCTTTCCCTTTCGGTTTCAAATAAGATCCCCCCGAGGATTTTCATGACATGAATTTGTTTCAAACTATTTCTCGCAAAATGCGGTAAAATCATTAAGTAATGTCTTGATTTGTTGCAAACTAATTAGTTGTTTTTGACTTCTGTGAACAACTAAGAGACAATTTAAGATATAAGAAATCAGCATCTTGTCTTAAAAACGGGTGAAGCCCCTTAAGTATATCCAGGTGGTGTTTATTATGTTTTAACCGTTAGCGTTTTTTTACTTATTCCTACTTTTGCTTTCACTATTCTTGTTTTTAACAAGTGATTAATTTTTCTAGAATCAACTGTTATAGATTGGGTGGTTTGATTTGGTAGTGAGTTATCAAATCGGAGGTAGACTTTTTCGGGTTAACAACAGATTGATGTAGTTTCTTGATTCATGATGAATTCAATTTTCTTAGGATACGCTTGGGACGGCAAAGGACACGATTTCAAATCTGACAAGTACCTTGTTTAAAAAGCAGCGGGAAATGTTCAGTTTAAAAAAATTGTCATGCTTATATTTGCCTGATTATTTTTTGTCGACTTGGTTGCCTCGTCTTAGAATTGTTTTTTTTTGCTGTACGCAACGTATTTGCTTGTTGTTGTGTTCTGATTTACTCTTGCAATTTGTGAATTTAATAGCCTTGTTTTCGTATTTGTTATTTTCATTGTTTTTCGCCTAAAAACCTTATTCGGCCCAAATGATTCCAGTTTATATTTGATTGGCTTAGTGACCTAATTTTGGGCAATTAAATTGTTCATGCTCCCCTCTGAATCTCTTGTAGTTGTGTTTTTTTTTCTAGGAAAAAATCATTCAGGAAGAGTTGCTAAATCGCAAGCATAACATAATTGAACCATATTTCGAAAAAAAATCATATTAAATAAGTAAGGAAGACGGTACAGCAAGGAAACTGTAGAACCCTGTCACCACATTACCCTAGTCACTGAGAAAGATGTTAAATGCGGGAAAATATCCATATTCTTGCGATGAATTTTTGTGTATGAGGAACTATTCTTACCTCACATTAGTTTCAAAAAAAGAAAAAAAGACGACAAAACGGTTTCTTCTCATTTTACTCTTTAAAGCAAGTATACAATTTCACAAAACAACAATTTCAGTTTGTAAGAGTGATCAAAGTTCTCACTGGGTCGCCGCCGTGCTGTCTCAAACACCTCTCCGCCTCTGTTCTAGAAAGTTCCATCTCTCTCACGATTAGTTCTACGTGGTCTTTGTTGATAGGCACTTTTCTTAATTCCCTCTCGTATGCTAGCTTCTCTTCCCTCTCCTTGGCTGTTTTTTCACTCAACGCTTTCATTGCCTCTTCGATGCCGCCAGATAGTAGACCTGAAACAATATTTAGAATCAAAAAAATACACACACACAAAGTTTGTTTAACGCAGATTTGAAAGACGAATTGAAACAAAAACGACGCTTTTGAAATTTAGCAGAAACGTGTAATTTACCGTATCCTCCTCTTTGAACAGGGTTGGCTGTTTCGCACCCCTCTGAATTCTTAAACCATTTTAAGCCACTGTTCTAAGCGTTTAAATTCATATGCAATGCAAGCTGGCAAACCGTGCTTCGCACCACTGACTAGATTTAATAAACATAGCATAGCAAGCTAGTCGACAGAAAATGAGACGATAGCCGATATGTCGAAAATACAGTTTGAAAAAAAAGACGCAACAAATCTACCAAAAGTTTCAAACGTTTGCCTCGTGTTGTATAAAGCGAAGTGTTAAATTAGCGTATAATCGATAAGTCTGTTGATTGACTAATAGCTCTGCGGCTTTTGTTTTTGTTTGAGGGATATGCATTTTGTTTGAGTGACATGCTTTTTGTTTGTGACCGGAAAACAGTTTTTTGTTCTGACCATTTAAAAAATTAGGAAGAAATTTGCATTCGGGTGTTTCGATTATTTTTTCACGCAAAATCAGATACCACAAATACTCATCGGAATGGTTCAAGTGATACACCAAAATGAATACCTTTCAATAGTTATTCGAACGGCTTTTTAAAAAATCAAAAAAAATGTTTAGTTCAATTTCGAGCGAATAAAGCGAGCAAGGAGGCTTACAATAGCTTATTTATGAATTTGAGCCCTGCAAACTTATCTCAAAAACCCATATCTTAAGCCCATATCTCGAAAATCAGACAAGTTTGAGCAGTAATTTTCGAGTCAGAATTTTCAATTTCTGAGTGTTCCTTGAGATCACCTCACCATACGGTTGATAGTTCCAAGTTATGCTAGATTTTTTCAAATCTAGGTTTTTTGAAAAAAAAAAAAAATAGAAAAACCATAAAAACTCCAATTCTCGAAAAGCAAAAGGATTTGAGCAGTCATAATTGCAGGGCAGAATTGCAGGTTCATCGTATCCTAAATGGAACCCACCATAAGTTTGAGAATTTCAAGTTGTTGAATTTTTCCATATCTGATTTTTTGAAAAAATCATGAAAAACGCCATATCTCGAAAAGCAATTGAGCAGTCAAATTTCAAAGGCCAAACTGCAACTCATTAGCGTAACCTGCGAATAACCCGGAATCGCGCTTAGAAACTTAAGTTCTGTAATCTAAGTTTTATTTAAAAATAACTCGAAAAAACGCCTTATCTCAACCAAACGAATTTGAGCAGTTAAATTTGAAGGTCCGACTTGCAACCTCTGATTGTTACCCTGATAGCACACCATAAGAGGGTTGAAACTTTAATTTTGTCAAACAAACACAGAAACGCACAGCTTTAAAAACTTGCATTGCGAAATAAGGGGAAACTATCCAGTTAAAACATTCACCCTTCAACAGACAAAGTTAGTAATGGATGGCCTTGCTAAAAAATGTTGAAATAAGTAAATCATTTTTGATGTTGCAAAACACTAGGATTTTATTAAACAAATCAACATAGGGACTGTTCAAACATGTGTCAATTGAAACGCCAATTACATAATGTATCGATTAATCCATTTCGAGAAAACTGGGTAAACAAAATCTACTAGATCGAACGTTTTTCGCCAACTTTACATTTTCGCTTTTCCATGTTCAATTGTGGAGTTTGCCTCCATTTTAACAAAGGAAATGAACTGAATTGGGAAAAAAAATCAAACCGCCTAAAAAAACATTAATCGACTCTAAACCAAAAAGGTGTTGGGTTTTAAAAACTGGATACCAATTCCGCAATCCCTGGAAAAATCTGACCGTATGGCTGCTAATTTCAAACTTGGCGAAATAAACGCTGCATCATAGCTGCAACCTTTCATTCAGGCCTTTCAATTGGCCGGGTATTCATGAAATGGAAAAACTTCCCAATCATTGCAATATACGATACAGCTTAAACTTTCGAAATTCTTTTGTTAAACATGCAAAAATAACAAAGCTAAGACCTGGTGAGATACGGGTCACACGGGCAATTATAGCATAGATGGATAGACTAGCGCAAGAATTGCACCAACGGTGCTGCAAAAAAATTGTTGACGTGAAAATACCTTCCCAAATAATTCACAAAACAATAACAGTTAATGCAACCGGTAATTTAAATCAGGGCCATCTATCAGGGGTTTCCATTTCATTAATTGAAAAAAAATTTTAGTCATCTTTTAGGTTGTTTTTCAACCAAATGGTCATAACTGTAAAACTACTGATTTTTATCAGGTCTCAAAAATCGACAGGATACACATGATTCTTTCATAAACATGGTGCAAAAGTTGAGATCGACAAAAAGGAGTTATTATACTCAGAGTTCTGAGACACAATGATAAAATCTAGTTTACTGGAAACTTGAAAAAATAACTGAAAAACTTGCATCTCGGAAATTTAAAATGAGAAGTTCAAATAGAAGTCACACTTGCAAACCCTGAGAGTTCCCTTACAGCACCACCACTATAAAATTGAGAATTTCAAGTTTGGTTACTTGCTTTATATCTAAATTTCTTTTTGAGAAAATTTTTTAATAATCATACACAACGCCATATCTCGAAAAACAAAAGGAATTGAGCAGTCATACTTGAACTGCAGATGTGCAACTACTGGGTGTACCCTGCAAACACCTCGCTATAGGGTTGAGAAAAAAAATTAGTTAAAAAAATTGTGAAACAAAATTTTAATAGTTTTACGTTGCGAAGATTGGAAAAAAGTAGAAATAAAGCATTCGCCCTACAAAAGATTTTAGAACGTCAACTTGAGTAAACCTTTTCACCCTTGCAATGATTTGGCTATTAAACAGGCCAACATAGCGACATCTTCAACATTTGCCAAGTGAAATTTCTTAGACATTACAAAATACGATTTGCTTAAACGTGCAAAAAATTTTTTCGGTATACATGCAAAAAATAATGCATTCAAAAAGGTTCATTATGTCAACATAGGAACTTCCTAAATACGTCACCATAGGGACTCCCTAGACGTGTCTTAAAAAAACGCCAATTAAATAAATGTATAGATAGATAGATAACAATAATAAATATAAAGATAAATATAGAAGCTTATAGCAAGGGTAATAGTTATACATACAATGGTTAGAACTCTAGAAGAAGCATTTAACGGTAGTACTTAGAATTGGCAGCCAGTTGTCACATTTAATTTTCAGGATATCAGCAGCACCACAGATTCGAAAAAATTTTAAAGTCAAGTTCTTAACCCAAAAAAAGTCAACGTTCCGCTTTGATAACGCTTCTAATCGCATAAAAAAGAGAAATTCTTCAAAAACAAATTTGGTTAAATTATAAAATAGAGAATGTATTTACAATGTATTTATATATTTATATTTATATATTTCTATTTACAAGTAATCATATCAGAGAAAAAACATTGCTTTGGGAACTAAAACAAAAAATAAGCAGACAAACGACATTCCGATACAAGAAAAAAGATAGTCCGTGCAAAAATATTTTTAAAAAAAACAAGGTCTATTCCAGAGCTCCATGTTCTTTACCACTAGACCAAAGTTCCACAAGAAAGCCTTTTAGTTTCGCAAATGAATTAAGCATTGATATAAGAGAGTTTTTACTACTAAAACTAGCGCATGACTCGCACCTACAGAGCTTCAAATATATTGTTGAACGTGAACAGCTGCTTCCAAAAAAATGTTCTGAAACAGTAAAACTTTAGTGACCCTGATTTGATACAACCGTGAAGATAAACTGGGCTCATCTATCAGGAGGTTTCTTTTTCATAAAAAACGCCTTATCTCGAAAACCAAAATGATTTGAGCATATACAATTAGAGGGCAGATTTGCTTCCCTATATTGTTCCCTGGCAGCATCCCACCATAGGGTTAAGGACTTCAAGTTAAATTACTGGTTTTTAAATCTAAGTTGTTTTTGAGAAAGTTTTAAAAAAGTCATGAGAAACGCCATATTTAGGAAACAAGAAAGATTTGAGCAGTAAAAAATAGAGGCTTTGACAGTACCCCTGATTTGTACCCCGATAAGTAGTAGACAGAGGCCCAAACAGTACCCTGAGATTAACCCTGAATGTACCCTGAAAGAACTACACCATTAGAGGGTGGAAAATTTCAAGATCTGTTAGCTTTTTTCTAATTCAAGTTTTTTGGAACAAAAATGGAAAAATCATTAAAAAATCAAAAGGTATTGAGCAGTGACATTTGGAGAGAAAAATTGCAATCCCTGGGTGTACCCCGACAGCACACCAACATAGGGTTGAGAAATTCAAGTTTCATTAATTTTGTTACTGTTTTGTTTTATGCTGTTTTATACTGTTTTGTAATTTCGTTTTAAACAAAAAAGAAATCATTCAAAACCAGGAGTCATAAAGACCAAAAAAAGATTTGAACAGTGATACTTGGATGGCAGATTTTGAACTCCTGAGAGTAACCTGAAAGTACACAACAATAGGGTTGAGAAATCCATGTTCGGTTACTTTTTTACAACTCACTTTTTTTTGAAAAAAAAAATAAATAAAAATAAAGAACGCCATATCTCGAAAAACAAAACGATATGAGCAGTGATACCTGGAGGCCAGATTTGCAACTCCTGGGTGTACTCTGAAAGCATCAAGACTAGAGGTTTGAGAATTTCAAGTTCGTTTTTGTTATATCTACGTTCTTTTGAAAAATTGAAAAAACGTAAAAATCGCCAAATCTCGAGAAACAAAATTAAAATTTGATCAGTCAGATTTAGAGGGAAGATTTGGAACGCCAACGCGTAACTGACAGGACTCCGCCTTAGAGTTCAGAACTTGAAGTTCGCTTAGTTTTTTTTCATCTAACTTTTCTTTTAAATTAAAAATAAAAAAAACGCCATATATCGAACAACAGGAGGTTTTGAGCCGTCATACTTGAATGCCAGAATCGCAACCCCTGATCGTACCCTGACAGCACGCCACAATTGATGTG